CGTAGCCACTCAAAGCCATGCGCCTCCTCCCAGCGCCCTACGGCGCCGCTCAGCCTATAATCGCTGCAGCGCCCGCCTTCTCACCGGCGTCGACCACGCAAATAGCAGCCCTCCGCACAGCTCCACTTCAGCCCCTACTCCACCATCATCGCTATCCCCAAACAGCATCATCACCCCGCCGTTACCGTTCATCATTGCCTCCTCTCCCGCTGTCCAACTACGACAACCCCTCAGATCCGTCGCCTCTATAGTGACGCTGTATCAGACCCGACGACCTGCTGTGCGTGTCGCCGAAACAACATTGCCTCGTCCGCAGACCCGTAGCCTCGCACGGCGACGTTGATTCGTTTGACAAAAACCCCTAGGCAAGATCCCTCTTGCTCAAATCTGAGTTTTAAGATTTATTATACATTATATGCATATTTTGGCTGTATTGTGATTAGTTGTAGTTTTTAAATTGTGATATAATCATCTGCGCATGATATTATGATAAGTAATTTAACGAAAAATTATTTTGTAAAAAGGGTTATTTTGAGATGTTTTAAAAAAATATATATTTTAAAGATTTTTAGAATTATTAATTATTAGAAATAAATTAAGAGCAATTATTTTGGAAAAGAGGCTATCTTGAATTGTTAATTTATTATTTTAAAAGATTACTTTTAGAATAATTATGGTGAAAGATAATTTGAAAGGAATTTATTTTGCAAAAAGGAATTAATTATTTTGAATTAATTTAGTTTATGATTGTGTGTTTGATGGTTGTTGACCACAATATTTTATGTGCAAATCATTTGCTGATTTTATATTTCTTATTCTAATTATGTGACATACCATGCTTGCATAGAATTAGCTGCATTTTAATTTCCTTATTGTGTTTGAGAACCCTTAGTAGTTCATGACTTAGTGGCCTTGTACATCATGAACAAGACTTAGTGACATGTGTGCGCGTTGACTGAATTTAGGGGGTGGACCGGAGATCTAGTTCAGGTTATGATTGTTGACTTAGAAAAGTGGGAAGAGTTGAGATGGGGAAGTCTTGGTTCATGTGATCGGATGTGGCTGTTGATGTATCTTCCAGGCTCACACCAATGAATTCGTGTAGTCACTAGGGTTGGTTTGTTGGGCTAAAGTGAATTCATGTAGTCACTTTAGTCAGTGAATATCGTGTAATCACCCGAGTCCTACTTGAGTTCGGACCAGGCCGAAATCGGATTGCGTGGTCCTCTGACTGATTCGTGTAGCAGTATTGGATGCACGTAGGAGATTTATGAACAATCAGTTATCCGATGATATGAGCGTTGGCTCTGTGTGAGATGTGGACCAATGACCTGTTATAGAATGGCTAGTTACATGACCTTGTTACTTAAGGTGATTATGGATTCTTGTGAGATGTAGGCCAGTTGTATTTCATTTCATACATAGATCGGAGTTAATATTTAATTATCTACAATTTGAGACATATGGTATATACATGAGGGTTTCCTTGTTTGGATTATTTTGCTCGACGTACTACGTCTCTTATTGTAGATTTTAAGTATTAATTCCATCTAGTTGTATAACTTTGTTACTTGGATGATTATTCTGATCGCTAGCATGATCTTGTTACTTGGTTGATTTTCTTGGATTCTTCTGATTATTATATTCTAGTGATAGATTGCATTTAGATTATTAGTATTCCAGTAGCATGCTTCTATTATTATTATATCTGTTTTTACCTTGGTCGTTCGACCGTTTCTATTTCCTCTCTATGGGATCTTGCCGTGTGCCATGCACGCTAACGTACACTTATTTTCTCTAGTGTACGTCAGATTTAGGAGACAGACAGACTCAGTTCGGAATTGTATAGGAGCCAGAGGATTCTTAGCAGGAGTGCCTTGTAGACAGAGTTGAAGAATAGACCGAAGCTCAGTTATCTTTTCTTAGTTGATGATCCTAGTTGTTTTTACAGTATTTCCTTTCTATTACCGTTGAACGATGTATTTTATATTTCTCCAGTATTCATTTGTTTAGTTATGTATAAGGGCATGTTGATCCGAATATTATGTCTTGGATGATATTTACTTGTGATATAGATATTTTGTTCTGAGTTTGTCTATTATATTCTTGCTAACTGTGATCGAGGACCTGTGCCTTTGCATTTATTTCTTGACGCTTAGCGTATTAGGTTGAGGAGGAATATTTATTTTTTATTTATTCTCCTTAATCTAATATGTCGTGGGCTTGTTCACGTTCTGATTTCTGGGTATTTTGGGAAGCGGCGCATGATATACGTTATACGTTTCTCGAAGTTTTCTGAAGATGCTTAGAGATTATAAATAAGGAAGGATGGCAGAAGACAGAGTAGAGTTCGGAGAGTCCAGAAAGAATCCTCTACAAGTCTTTTAAATATTATAAGTTGAGAGTCTTATTGTAAAATATTAGTGTGGCTAAAGAAGAAGTAATAGCAAGGTGTGTCGGTTTAAAATTGTAAGTGTTTACTTATTGTAAGCTGCTCCGTATTGTGTTAAATTCAACACACACACACACACACACACACACACACACACACATATATATATATATATATATATATATATATCATGAGAGACCCTAATTAGAGTTATGCCGTATAATAATTCTTCATGGTATCAGAATTCATAGTTGCTTGCTCCTCACATTACTCATATGCATGCTGTTAAAAGAATATACAAGTACTAATAGGGCACATTTGATCATGACCTTCTTTTGAGATAGTCAAAGCCTCCATCTCTTGTTGTACCTTACTCTGACACAAATTGGGCGGGGTGCCCAGAAAGCTCACGATCTACCACGGGCTTGGATTAGATATCTCTTGGTCGAGCTTAATTATGTTCATAAACAACTAGTTCAGTTGTTCTGTGATAATATCAGCACCACTTACATGTCGGTAAATCCAGCTCTCCATGATCGAAACAAACATATCAAGATCGACTGCCATTTTATTCGGGAACGAGTAGCTCATGGCGATTTATGTGTTCGATATGTTCCCACTAATTTGCAATTAGTCATTATCTTCACAAAGGGACTGTTTTTTAAAGGGAATGTTTTTTATCTTCACAAAGGGATTGTCATCATAGCGATTCCTTTTTTTAAAATCAAATCTGTCCGTACAGAGCCTGGTATAGATTGAGTGGGTGTAATAGTGTATATGAGAGGTCTAAATTGTAACAATGTCACGAGGACTATTCTGTAATTAGTCATGTGTGTGTATCACGAGAGACCATAATTAGGGTTATGCCATCATAATAATTTTTCATAGCCCTTAAAAGTTCGAGAGAGTATTTGTGTTAGGTTATTGGCTTTTATGAAAAAAATTAATAAAAATTGTCTGAGTAAGATCAAACCAACCTTATCCTCTTTTTTTTACTACAACCTAATCATATCTAAATGAGCTTTATAAACTAATTCTTCAATAAGTAGAAGTCTTTTTCCCCCTTCTTTAGTGGGACTTAAAATCAAATTTACTTTGGACGTTACCTAATAGATATAGATATGAAGAAAATTAGTTAGAAGGTTTTTAGGGGTAAAAAGAAAAACTCCTGCAAATCACCTTCTAGAATAGAGTTGGGGCCTTAAAAGAGGTTTGTTCTTCCGCAACGTATTACCATGCTTAGAAATGCTGCAGAAATCCCTGTCAATTGCTATTGCAATTTTTTCTTTTTTTAATATCCTTCTTAATCCATTAATACAAAGATATTCTCCTCAACTATCATATCTAATCTTGTAATTGGAATTGAAGGATTGATATCAGTTTGACTTGTGAAGATTCTGATTGCATGCATTAGATTTTATTAATAGAGAGAGAGAGAGGGGGGGGGG